ATTATCCTCCTCTCTAGGGCATGAGCTAGAGGCACCCCGAGAAGAGGCAGGTGGGGGCAGGCTCCCAGAGAGTGTGGGGACGCTGGGCCCTGGCCCTGCACTCTCCCACCTCCCAGAGTAACACCCGGATATCACACTGCTGACTGGCCAATGACCCTGGGGTCCTCTAGACAAACTGCTGACAGGTGTGGTCGGACCCCTGCGTTCAAACCCCACCGCACACCTCTGTCTGTCTCCCCCCGTGAAATGCAGAGAGTCAGATGACCCACTTAACGTGGCCTGAAGATCCTCAGAACAGGGCCTGGCCTGTGGGGAACCCTCAGCAAATACCAGCACCCTGCTGCCACTGTTGTCCAGGTCGCCGTCTGGGCTGGACCCCTGACTGCCGGCTGGGGTCTGTGGGGTGAGCACAGCTGTCCTGTGCATGATGGGATGCCCTTCTGCCCCGTCCCCTAGGGGAACTTCTGGGCATGCAGCATTACCGCATTCCTTACCTGTGTAGCTTGCCTGCCCTCCCCACCAGGGTCCCACCCCCAGGGGCCCTTTCCCATCCTCACACACACCCTGGCGGACATCCTCTGTGAGTGGGTTGTTGTGGGGCCTCCGCCTGGTCACTAAACCCTTGAGGATTTTCCTCCGCAGCACCACCTTCAGCCGCCTTTCCTCAGATGAGCACTCCTCTCTACCCCAGTGCTGTCCAGGACACCTGCGTGACTGAGTCCATGGCCTCGATGTAAAGCACTGGTCTCACTTCTGACAGGAGGTCCCTTGGTGTCAGCCTCCCCTCCCTGGGCTGAGTGGCCTCCTCCGCTATCAGGGTCTCCCCGGTCCAGTTCTTGGTCTCACTGTTGTTGGGGCTGCACCCACATGGCCCAGGGTCTGTCCTGGAGGGATTTCAGAGGGAGCCCATACCCTGCGGAGGCTCCTCCCTGGCCTTGTACCCAGCTCAGTGCCAAGGGCCTCACTTCCCAATGGAGGGATGAGGCAGAGAGGGAAACGCTGCCCAACCCCCAGAGTGGGAGGCCAGAGTAGATTCACTGAGGAAGCTGCACATGTGGGAGAAGGAGAGCCCCCCGGCACGACCCCTCCCACTCTGGAGGCTCCAGGTGGCCCCATCCCGGCCTGCCTGTGGGGAGGCAGGAAGCGGGCAGTGCCCAGGGCAGATGTGAGGTCCCAGGGAAGGAGCAGGGGCCCTGGGGGCTCTTCAAGGAAGGGAGGTGCCCAGAGGACTTGCCCAGCTTGGGGGAGCCGGTTTCTATGAGGCTTCTCATAGCCCAGAGCCAGTCCGTTCTCTGCCTCCCCCACGGGGTGTGAGCTGAGCAGAGCATTGGGGGTGGATGGGAGACATGAGATGGGAGACATGGTCCATCTCAGCTAAGTCCCCAGGGGTTCTGTGTGTGGCCCATGCTACAGATGAAGAACCCAGGGCTCAAGTGGGCAGATGGCCTGTCTGAGGACATGCATCTACAATGCTCCCAGCCTGGTGATGCTCCCTGCCCCTACCTGGGAGGCCAGGACCATGGGTCTGAAGGCCTCCAAGGTCATTCTGGGTAGCTGACTGAGGCCTAGAAGATGCCAAGGAGGGCTGGTGCCAAGAGGAGCTCTAGAAGACCCCTCTCACCCTCTGTACACTATCCTTGCTTGCATCACCCACCCAGCCAGGACCTGTGTCTTGGTTTCATGAGCACAGGATGGGACAGGTCAGGAAGAGACACTTGAGGACAAGAGCAGGAGACGTGCAGCGCGTGTCTGCCCCAGTAAGGGAGCCAGTATGGAGGCCACATTAACCAAGGTGAAGTGCCCAGAGCATGGGAGGTGATTGTCCTGTAGGAGTTCCACGTATCAGAAAGAACAGTGACAAACTGAGGCAAATGCAGGAGACGCACTTCAAACTTAAAAAGCTAAAGACATGGGTGTTTGTCTTGGACTTGGGGGCTGGGAGAGCATTTTCCCCTCCCTGTGCTTCCCTCCAGCCACACTGGCCTTCTGCAAGCCACCCCCACCCCCGCCGACTCCTTCCCCCTGCTCAGGGGTTCAGCTTACCACCCCCCACCTGGAATGCCCTTCCTCTTGGCACGCGGGCCCCTGCCTGTCCCTAGGGCCTCAACTTGAAGGTGGCCCTTGGAGGGTCCTGCCTATCCACCCTGTCTGAACTGGTTGTTGTGCCCCGAGTTGTCTGCTGTCTCAGCTCCCTGGGCGCAGACTTCCTTCCCAGCCTCCTGGATATGTGAGGGCTCTATGCATGCTGCTGGGATGCAGGCTGGTCCATAACTGCACCCCAGAACCTAGCACGGGACTTATGGATGTTTGTTGAATGAATGAACACACAGCCCCAGAACCGCTCAATCAAGGAAGGAAGGAATTTGAAGAGAAACGAGGCCTTTTCTCTGCTTCCTGGGGGGGGGGGGGGGGCGGGGCGCAGACCAAGGGCCAAAGAGTGGCTTGGTATGGAGGGCACTGTTGGCTAAGGGAGGCCTGTCTGGGGAGACACAGCGATGCTGGACCCCAGGGTCGGACAGGGCGGCAGGGGAGGGCATCCTCCAGGGCCCCTTTGTACTCATAGACCTGCTTGTGCTCCCATCCCAGGGTTCTCTCCCATCCACCCAAATGTGGTCTCCATTGGTCTCTGGCTGTGGTGGAGGGCCGAGGCCTGGCCGGCCGCTGTGAGGAAGGACATCCTCCCACGGAGTCTGGGTGAGGAAAAGCTCAGCCTGGATGCCGCCCATCTGGGAACTTCGCTCTACACGATGCTGGTTTGCACACACCTCCGTTGAACTCCCGCACAGCAGCGCCTCCCAACTTTGTTAATGGAAACCCGGTGATCCGTAACCATGTGGCAGACATCTGCTCGGGGGTAATGTGGTGGTAATGTACATATCGGTGATCAATCAGCGGATTTGCAAGAGAGGCATAAAGTGTTTAATTAGATGTGTGCTGGGCGAGTCTGCGTGGTGGCGGTATTTGAATAGGTCAGAGCCGGCCCTCACCCCTGCAATGTTGTTTGGTATTAAATGCCACTCACTTGAAAGACTGGAAGACCTGCCTGAGTGGTGGGATATCACACGCTGGCAAATTGAAAATGTCCCTTCGCTTTTAAAAACATGATTGATATCCTTTGCAAAACAAATGTTATACCTCATAGTACACAGACCTCGCCTGCCTGGCGCCACCCCTTTGCTCGCCGGCAGCCAGTGAGCACCTGCCGCGGACCCTGTGCACAGGGGAGGGCGTGCTAACAGCCTGTCTGGTTGCCAGGACTCCTCTCCCCCTCCAAGCCTGGGGCTTCCAAAATTGCCCTCTTTTAGGACAGAGGAATTTTCTGTTCCATCAGGCTTTGCTCACCAGGACAAAAAGCGGGAATGTGGCTAGAACCCGAAAGATAAAATGCAAATTTTATTTGCTTGATTGGTAGCAGAAAAATATATCTTCAGATACTCTGTATGCCATCTACTTATGTATGATAAGTACCACCTGCACCACACCACCTACGTCATATCTACTATCATTTAAAACAATGCTTTTAGCTCAACTGGCAAAGGGATACGAATAACGGGAACACCGACAGACATCACACCTGTGATGCACACATGCACGAACGTGCAGACAGACACTCTGAGTCTGCATGAGCCATAGCTTGGAGGGCGTGTTAGCAGCCCAGCCCCAAAGCCACATGCCTGGGCCTGGGCCTGGGTCCACCTGCATGCGGGTCCCATCTGTAAAGTGGGGATGAGAAGTAATGCAACCATCAACCAGGGCTGGTGCTCCTGCCATGGAGACAGCCCCTGTCTGGGCTCAGCAGGGTGCCTAGCGGGCAGTGAGGGCCCACCAATGTTGGGTGCTTTCCCAGCAAAGAGCTCGGGCATCTGGCATTTGCGAAGGAGAGATGTCCTCTGTGTTGCAGGCCTTAGTCCTTTTTCCAGAGGGCTGTTTGAGGCAGGGCTCCCCTCCTCCCATGAGGCTGACTGGCTGCCCCATGGGCAGGGCCTGGCCAGACCAAGAGAGTGATGGCGGGCAGGCAGTGGGCACATCACCACCAGCACTCATCTCTGGACTCGGGGATCAGGCATTTCACAACATTCATAAGTAACGGCCTTCTCCCCTCTTCTCAAAACGATTATGTCAACCCAAGGAGGTATCTACAGGGTGGACGAATAATAATGCTGCAGTTTAATGAAATGTCAGCTTGTCTGAATCAGAAGCGAGCCAGTCTAAGTGAGTCTCTTGCATGGCTCGGTCTGTCTCCACCTCCTGCCTGCCTTCCTTTACCGGTCTGGGTTTTTCAGAGTCCAATAAAGCACAGCCATGTAATTCCCAGTCGAGACAGTCAGCTTCCTTGGGTGTGTTTTTGTTGTTTATAAAATTAGCCAGTCATTGTCACCTAGTGGATCAGATTAGGTGTAATCCATACCAATGTTCAAATTAAGTCATGGAAAGCGATTAACTCCGCAAAGCTGGGCTGGTGAAAAATGATAAGGTTGGTCAAATAGTTGCACTGTGCATAACTGTGTTTTTAAAATGCCCGTCTCCACGCAGTAATTAAATCATTTACATTTCAAATGGAGTGTACCCGCCCCTAATGCTCGTCGTTGTGCACTCCCTAATTGTACACCTCAGGGTAGCAGGGATCCGTCAGCTGCCTGCTACGGAAGGTCTGCCTCCTCGGGAAACCAGCTGGGTGGAACGTGCCCCAGTAGAAACGTACTCCCTGCTCAGAAGAACCAAGAAAAGTGTACTTTGCCCCATGTTGTCCCAAATTTGGACCCCTCCCTCCTCCCTCTTGCTCCTCCCTTCTTCCTGCCTTCTTTCCTGTATAAAAAAGTGCACAGGATTTCTCAAGCAATCATCGGCTATTCTGTTCACAGCACAAGATGCACTTACTCTTTCGATCACATCATCCGCAGCAGGGCCACAGTCAAAAACCTCGGGGCGACATTCATGGGATCAACTGATATCTGACTTCACTGTTTGCACTTTATTAGTATCACTTTTAGCTCTAGGGAAGATGCCCACCCACTTCGCCAACTGTAGACTGAGCGTACTGGCCGCCTTCCAGGGTGTGGCTGTCTATGCAGCCGATTCTCAGATTACGGAGGGATGAAATGCTACCTTGGGTCCAAGTGAACGTGGCCCTAAACCTGTGTTCCTATTCCTCGAGAAGGATCATTCAGTGAATCCAGAGCAAACGCTTCAGTTAAGCAGGACCCCATGGGTCTTCTTGCAAGGGAACTTTCTCTGAAGGATGAAGCCCGAAGACTGACCTCCTGTCTCTCCAGCCCAGGGTGGTTTGCAGCACGGAGCAGGGACGTGTCTGTGGAAGATAGTAGGATGTGGCAAAACTTTGCTTCTTGGCTCGAGGTGGGGTTGCAGTCACCTGGAAGACCCCAGACTAACTGGGTGCCAGCCCTGACTCATACTGTCCAAAGGTGGAGGTTCATTTGCTGGGTTTCCAGCCGGGGGTTTCTGCCCTCCTGGGGGCCGTAGGGATACTTGAGCCCTGGAAAAGGGTCGGGTGAGGACAGGATGTAGTCAATGCTGAACTTGATGCCCCTGGGCTCCTCCTTCCCCGTGGCAGCGCAGCTAACAGGGGCCGGGGGCTGGCGGTGGGGGGCTGGCTCAGGCGGCCCCGGAGGCCCCTCCACGCCCCCCGCCCTCGCCTCCCCCACCCCCTCCCGCTTGGGGCCACGGCGCCGGCGCCGCCGCCGGTAGTTGCCATTCTCGAAGAGGTCCAGCAGCGACTCGCAGCCGCCCGCGAACGTCCAGTAGTTGCCCTTGCCCTTCTCGTGGCCTTCCGTCCGAGGCACCTGTGGGAGAGGGAGGGGCTCCGCGAGGGGCTGGCTCCCGGTGCGCTCCTGCGCACCCCTCCCCGCATCTGGGCTCACTTAGGACTCCAGGACAAGCACTGGGTAGGTCCCTGTCCTTGCGGTGTGTGGCGTTGCTCATGGAGCAAGCTGGAGGCCCTAAATTTGCTAAAAACGAACCTTCCAGCAACTGCTGCCGCAAAATCCCCCGCCCCCGGCCCCCAGTCAAGGATGACTTGGCCCAGGAGCCCCCGGCTTGGGACGCTCGGGCCATTCCGGGGAGCGGGTGGCGGGCCGGGGCGGGGCTCACCTTGACAAAGCAGCGGTTGAGGGACAGGTTGTGGCGGATGGAGTTCTGCCAGGCGCGCTGGTTGGCTCGGTAGTAGGGGAACTTGCGCATGATGAAGTCGTAGATGCCGGACAGGGTCACCCTGCCTGAGGGGCTCTGCTGAATGGCCATGGCGATCAGCGCGATGTAGCTGCAAATAGGGGCGCATGGGGCCACGCGGGGCGGAGGAGGGGACGCTGTGGCGTCTGGAATCCCCTCCAGCCAGGAGCCCCTCTAGAAGCGCACGGCTCCTCCGCCGCCAGGGCTCCGTGGTGTGTGGGAGGTGCCCGCGGGAAGGGGTTGTTTGGGAGCGTGAACCCTGGAGTTCCCCGCTCCCCGCTTCTGCCCAGACCCAAGAAGCTCATCTTCACACTGGGGAGTTTCCTCAGGGCAGTTGAGAGAACATGCAGAGGAAGGTGTCCCTTCTCTGAATCTCACCCACCCCCCCGCCCTCCGGAGAAGAAAGCCCTCCCTCCGTCCCAGGAGGTCCTTGAGGAGGAGGGTCCCCGGCCCCGCAGGCTCCCACCACGCGCCCCGCAGCCACCTGTAAGCGGGCCGTGTGAGCCGCTTCTCCTCGTCCGAGCTGCCGGCTGGGTAGTCGTCCGCGTCGTAATTGAAGCAATTGTAGGGATACTGTGAGCTGTCAAACATCTTGGCGCACCCAGTGCCCGCGGGGACCACCGCTGTCTTTGCCACCTCCTCCGCGCCGCCCGCCGGCCCGCCAGGTCTTTGCTGAGGTCCTCCGGGGCGCGGGCCAGCAGCGTCTGCACTGCGGGCTCTTCTACGCCCGAGCTGGGAACCTGGGCTTCTGGGGTCCCCCACCCGCGCCCACCCCGTTCTCTCGCATCCAATCCCAGCGCGGGGGAGGCCCCAGCCACCAGGAAAGAGGCTGAGGGGAGCCGAGCGGGGCTCTGGGTGACCCTCTGACCGCCTGCGGACCGAGGGAGGAGGGAATGGCGTGCTGGGTGGTCCGACAGGCGGGGCGCCACCCCCCTGCCTCCTGCTCCCGCCCCGGTGCGGGTGCCCCGCTCCCTGCGCTGGCCCCAGATTTCGAGGAAGGGCCGCTGGGTATCCCTCCCATCCCCCCGCCCCCGCCCCGAGCCAGAGCTGGGGCTCCCCGTGGGCTCCCTGCACTGGCGGATGTTTCCTCGGAGCTCGCGGGTCTGTGCGCCCTGGGCGCGCACGGAGACACTAGGTTCTTCCCTGGCGCCGATCCCGGAGTGGACTCTTGGGTTGCCAGAACAGAGCCATGAGCCAGGCCACAGACAGGGACGGGACTGTCGCCTCCCCCACTACCAGGCTCGGCCCCACCTCCTGCCCCAGAACAGCAGGGTCCAGGCAGGATAGTTTGGGCCCCGCTGGTGTGTCCCTGCCTGGAGCACCGGATCAGAGCCCGGTCAGAGACACAGGGTCCAGCATTTCCTCCAAGGCCCTGCGTCCCAGCGGCACTGTGTCTAACTGCCCAGAAGGGTGCCTCCTCCAGGTCCCGGCAAGGGGCTCAGGAGCCTGCTCCGTAAGGGAGCCCCTGAGTGCCTGGGGCACAGAGCTTTCAGTCCTGGGAGCACGCTTGACAGCTTAGCCCTACTTTACTGGTCCCTTCGAGCTCCAAAGCTGTGGTTCCTTGTATGGGTAGATGCATGCGGGAGAGAAGACAAGGTATGGGAATTTTAGGGGAAAAAATGAGGTGGGATCTTGCCGGGGGGGTGTGGCAAGGGGCGGGGCGGGGGGGGGTCTGTTTCACAGTGGGATGTGCCACCAAAGGCGTTTCCATGAATAATCTGCAGAATTCTGAACTGACCCATTTCTGTGAATCTGCCTGAGGTCAGGAAGCCTGGATAGTCTTTTTCCAGAAAATTCTCCCTTCACAGCACAACCTTGAGCTCAGAAATGACCTGTGATCAGTCCAGCCAGCTGGCCCCATGCGGCTTGATGGGGCCCACCGCCCTTGGTGAGGAAGGGTGGGCAGGCCTGACTTGGTGCAGCCAGGTTCCCCCAGCACCCCCCGGGAGGCTGTGCAGCGGTCCTGCTGCTTGGCTACCACGCTGGCTTCTGCCGAGGATCAGAAGCACACTGGGGCTCAAACACATTGAGCGGCTCTGTGTCGTCCTCTCCGTCAGATGTCAAAATTATATTTGCTGGACTGTGGGAACATAAAATGGTACAGCCCCTCTTGAAAACATTGTGGCAGTTTCTTTAAAAATTAAACATGTGACCACAGTGTTAAGCAGCAATTAGACACTTCTCCGTTTATCCCAGAGAAATGGAAAGTGAAAGTCACAGAACACCTGTGCACACATACTTAGAGCGGTTTTTTTGGTCACATCCCCAAACTGGGACTTGCCCAGACGTCCTTCCACGGGGAAACGGCTAAACAAGCTTCTGTCCCGTCTACACCAGGGGACACCTCAGCGATGCAAAGCAACCAACCACTGACACAGCAGCAGGCTGGATGGGTCTCCAACTAAGCGCAAAAGCCAGCCTCAAGGGTCACATACTCCATGCTGCCATCTATAGACATTCTTGAAAAGACAATACGATAAAATGTGGAACAGAGTGGTTTCCTGGAGTTAGGAGGAGGTGCAGGCAGGACAGAAGTGGTTGCAACGATAACAGGATGACGCGAGGGGCCCTTGCGACCTTGCCACGCTCTGCATGGGCTGTGTCAATGTCAAGGTCTTGGTCGTGGGGTTGTGCGTTATGCAAGATGTCACCATGGGGGGAAACTGGGTAAAGGGTACATGGGACCTCTGTTTTATTTCTTACAACTGCATGGAATCTACAGTTATCTCCAAATAAAAAAGTTTAATTCAATAACCTGCAGTGGTCTTGGAGACCCAAGATGTCAAGCGGTGAGAATGAGATTTGAGGCAGAGCAGTCTGTGCCAAAGAGAGAAACACATCACCTCTGCTCAGCAAGGGTTTTCTCTGCCAGTTCCTGTTCTTGTCCTCACCCTTCCCTCCACGGCTTTCTGTCAAGCTTCAGGCGCCTCCTTGGAGAACCTGGGTTCTGAGGCTTGACCTCCCAGGAGCTGCACGGTCAGGCAGAAGCAGTGGGAGCAGATGTGATGGGCCTGGAGCTCTGTCCTGGCCAGCGAGGTCAGCCAGCCTCAGGGGACCCTGTGTACCGGGCTACAAGAAGGACCTCGAAGCCTCTGTCACACAGATGATGGACAAGCAGGAAACAACATGGCTACTTCACTCCAGCCTTCCACATCTTGGGGTGGAAGGCTCCGGTGGCCACTCCAAACCTGAACCTCTCGAGGAGGGGAACCCTGAGCTGGAGTAACCCAGAGACTCTCAGGGGAGCCATCATCTCGAGACCCGGGTCATGCCTGGCACATTCAGCACCTTGCACCTCCGTGTGAGCTGGCCCATCCCCCGAACATGGTCCCTTCCCTTGGAAAGGCCACATACCAGCCCGTGGAGAAACAGATGACAATAATCCCAGGCCCTGCGTCCCACAACTGTTGACGATCAGAACCCAAGTTTGAAGTCACTTCTAATTAAGAGCTCTCATTATCAAAAACCATGCTGTCTCCCACGTGTCACTTCCGAGGGCTGATGGAAAACAATGTCATAAGAGCATGACGTGGAGGCAGCTTCCCCTCAGAGCAGCCAGCTGGGCTCCTTTGCTTGGGGTGGGCATTCGGTCCCACACCCCGTGACGCACTTTGTAACACCCCTGGTAGAATCCTGCTTCTTGTGTAAAATCAGTAGACACATTGAACGAGATGGCTGGTTCTGCTGGAGTCTGTGGCACTCTCTCTGCCAACGTGTCTGTCTCGCAGGCTTTCTGAGAGTTGGATTTGGATGTGGCTGAGCCGACAACTTCCAGCTCAGGCTCTCTCTCTCCCTGTGGCCGGGGGCGTGTCTTCTGAAAGCTTGACGGGCTGGAGGCCCCCCTCCAAGCAGCCTCCCGCCTGCTCGTAAGCTGGTGCCAGCTGCTGGCCCGGGGGCCTCCAGTCCTCACCACATGGGCCCCTCCACCGAGCCACTCACAACAAGGCAGGTAACTTCCCCTGCACAGGAGATCTGAGAGAAGGAGAAGCAGGGGCCCAGGGTCTTCCGGGACCTAGTTTTGGCAGGGACCTGTATGTCTACTGGCCTCAGAGACCAACCTGGTGCAACACTGAGGGGCCTGCAGGGGTGTGATTACCAGGAGACATGGACCACAGGGGGCCCACGGGAAGTGGGAACCCTTGACTCCAGTGGCGGGGACAGCATGGGGTAGAGAATCAGCAAGTGCCGGAGCACCACGGAGATGAGGACCCAGGTGTAGAGCCGGCCAGCTGGGCGCCAGGGCTCAGGGTGGGGAAAGGAGGTGCCTCGGAGGAATGTTACAAGCTCAGTGGATGAGACAAGTGGTGAGGTCGGTGGGGACTGAGCCATGCCAAGTTGCTCATCCACAGTGTTCAGTGAGGACTTACCACAAGCCAGGAACTGGGCAGAACGAAAAGCACTCCTGGTCCTCACATTGCTCCCAGCCTAGTGGGGAAGCAGAGGATCCCAGAAAGTGGAAAGGACAGTATGTATCCATGATAGGAATACTGAGATGGCCAGGCGAAGCACCAGGAAACTCCCCTCCACTGCTGGAATGCTTGAGCAGCACTCAGAATAGGAATTAACAAAATATGGTTGGTGTGGGGCAGAGAGCTCCAGGCCGGGAGGCTGTGCAAAGGCCCTGTGGCACCACAGAGGGGGTGCCTCTCCAGCCTCCACTGCCCTCCGCATGAGCCCCAAACTTCTTCTGTGTCTGGACGTGTTTCTTGTTGCACAGAGCTTGACTCAATTGCCATTGAAGAATGACCCATTCGTTCTGGGGTAGTTTTTGAATGGCAGGCACTGTGCTGATCCTGGTGGGACAATGAAGAGTGAGCCTGAGGGGCCCTTTGCCTGGGGCCACTCAAGGCCTGGACACGGTAGGACCGGCTGGCCTGGTTGGGGCTTGCCGATGGCCTGCCTGGCTGAGGGACCCACGTGCCAGGCAGCTGAGGGTCCCCATGTCCCCTCTGCTTTGGAGGTCCTGGATTCTGGTCCTGAGGACCACGGGGCTCCTGAGGGGGGTCATTGGGCCCTGCGGAGTGGCTCTTGCTTTTCTCGGGCTCTTCTCTAGATGGTGCAAGTGGACCAGTCTTGGGCAGTGTTCCTGGTGCCCCCTCCTCCCCCCAGGGGGGAGCTTTCCGGGATGACGGTGGCCACAGGACATATCTGGCTACAGCAGTCAGCGTGGTGAGGAGAAGTTGCCTCCTAGAGCCCTGGGACCCACAGGGATGGCCACACCAGGGGCCTCGGTTGGACACAGCAACCTAGCCTGTTCTGGGCTGAGGCACCAGTGTGTAGCCCGCAGAACCCCACCTGGCAGCCGACCTCTTTAACAGCTTCACCCCATTGCCCCATTAAAACTGCCAGGCCAGGAGCTGTCCTCACCCCTCTGAGACAGAGTGGACACTGTTCCCGGCTCCCAGGTGGGCAAGTCCCAGCTCCAAGAAGAGTAAGAAAGACCCCTCCGTGCGTATGGGAACCTCCTCCCCACATGGGGGGCTTTGGGATTCTGCTCTCCTAGCTTCCTTCACCACTCACCACACCTCACACCCAGGCAGAGGCTGCTTGAGACCTTCTTGCTCGACTCTTCTGTTAAGGTCCCTCTGGGTGGGGTGCAGAGGAGTTTTCCTTAGAAACTGGTCAGGATTTGGGAGGGATATGTGAGGGTGAGTCTGTGATCTGAGTGGCAGGTGGAAGCCGCTTGGGTGAGGCATTGAGGCTGGACCGCCTGGGAGCCTGCCAAAGACCTCCTCTGTCTGGGGGCTTGGCCTTTGAGGCTCTGGCCCCAGCGGTCTGTTCATTCAGTTTGCTCCCAGGTGGTCTGGGGAGCCACGGGGGTGCACCTGGGAGGGACTGCGGTCCATGAGGTGCCTTTGTCATCCTTCTCTTGGGCCATGGGGGGTGTCCTTTGTCCTTTGTGCATCTCAGACTTCTGGGTAGGGGGCTGGGAAATGAGGGGGTGCCCACCCACCTGCATTGCCGAAGCCCCACTGCACACATTTTGCCCCCTGTGGCCCACAGGGGCTGGGGTTTATATGTCGGTTTGTTTGTTTATTTACTTATTTCACTTTGGGTAGTGGTCTGAGCCCAGAGCTTGCGGCTTCAGGCGGGGTGTTTCCTCCCCTCCTACCTGCCCCTCAAGTCTCCAGAACGAGTTCCCAGGCTCACTGAGAGATGGTTCTGTTTGAGTTCTTGCCCTCACTTTCCCCCAGGCACCTCTGCCGAAATGTTGTCTGGTTTGTGGACCAGGCAGGCTGGGTAGGCGTCCCTGGACAGCTGACTTGCACCAAGAGGAGTTTAATGGAAAGCCCTTTTTTCTTCTCTTTGTTTGGGACCGGCTCCCTCGGCTCCGGCCTCTCTCCATCCCACGAGGTTGCCCTGGAGCCCCGGGGACATGCTGGTCTGGGTGTTGGGTCTGTGTTCTCTCTCCACAGCTGTGGGTGCTTCAGGGAAAGGTTTGGTTTGATTTGAAGACAGAAAGAGGGGTCTCTTGCGTTTAGAGGTCAGGCAGATCCAGGCCCCGAACACCACAGTGCTGAACTCAGGAAAATAATTTCTTGGGTCTGGGCCTCAGTGCGACAGCTTTAAGTGTGTGCAGTTGGGCAGGGATTTCTCTCGGGGGCGGGTGGGTGGTGATCCTTTGGCCTGGCCAGGCCTGCAGCCCGGGCTCTGACCCCACTTCCTCCCCTGCTTCACCCACATGCCGAACTCTGCCAATGTAACTGGGGAACGCACTTTGTGAAGCCTTAATAACACCAAGATCGTGTGTGAAGAGCAGCAGACCCCACTTTCCTCCTGCTCCCATCACTGCATCCCTGAGAAATCACATTCCATGTTCCCCTGGGTGTCTTCTCATCTGCTTCTGCATTACCTCTATGCTTCTAGCGGACAGGCAGATGTTAAACATTTTTTAAGTTTAATGCCAATCAACTTTCTGCCCTGCAAGAGAGGATTAGCTCTCAGACAGCATCCTGACCCACTTCGTTCCGACTCAGTTATACCACCTTTTCTTTCTTTGGAGAAATAATGTTGATTATGTCTGTGAATGCCATACCGACTGAGTCATGGGTTCTGGTAATTGTACTTCCTCTCCTGAGTAGCTGACCCTCTGGACAGATGGCATTTCCTGTCTGCCTGGTTCCCGGCAGGTGCTCTCGACCCACTACGGCTGTGCCAGCCCCTCTTCTGCAGAAAGAGCTGGTTCCTCTCTGTTCTGTGTCCTCCTGGCCATGGCCCTCCCATGCCACGCTCTGCCCACTGAGCCAGGGTGGCATGAATGCTCCTCCTTCACCTGGGTGGGGTACCCCCCTTCCCGCTTTCCCTCTTTCTCTATTTTCTCCCTGGTAGCACAGGGCCCAATGACCGCAGCGCCCTCCTGGACACGGGCTGTTCAGGACCTGTGTCCTCGCCCAGGGGCAGTGGGCTCCTCGGTGGCCATTGAGGGAATCACTCCACCCCCCTGTGGCTTCCAGCATCGCTGCCCATTATATCTCAATTGTCAAGCCCTGTGTACTTGGTGTGAGGAATCTCCTTTCTACCTGACCTGCCTTCTTCCCCAACTAGCCCTCAGCCTTTGGACCTCTGTGTCAGCTTTGCTTTGGCCAATTTTAGCAAGAATTCTTTTAAGTCAGTTTAGTGAGAGCCCCGCCCGCCCTTGATGTCTGATCCGGTCCCCATCCTGCACCTCCCGGTGGTGTCTGGTCACCCTGGCCTGCATCAGCAAGAATCCCAGCCCCACGCTTCCTTAGTAATTTCTGACCCACTGACCTCCTGCTTCTCGTCTGTGAATCATCACATTCCAGGCCGTGTCTGCACGGAGCCCGGGTCCACACGGAGGTCTCTGGTACCCATGGCCACAGCCCCATGCTGGCCTTTCTTCAACACAACTGCAGGTCTTAGTGTCCTCGTCATGGTGCCTGGTTCTTGAAGGGTGGCAGATATGTCACCCCGAAATGTGCCTCTTTGGCATAAGGATTACTTTGAGCTGGTTATTTTGAGAAACGGCAGACACGGGAGGTGCTCTGAAGCAGAGTAGAAGTCCCCCTTTTGTGTGGGACGTTTGCATTGATAAAGGTAACCTCCCTGTGTAGGAGTGTGTCTGCTGTGGACGAGGAGGGGGACCCATGACTCCAGGTCCCAGAGACGGGTTCCGATTTAAATCTGAGTGACCACCACGCGTTTGCTTACGGTGCTCTTCCTGGTCACCCCGTGACTGGCCTCCCCCCACTTTCCTTCTTCTGTCTTTGCTCCAAAAGACCTGGGAGTTCTGTGTTGGAACCCAAAGGAAAAGACCGAATGTGGATCTCCGCTGTGCCGCGGGCGCTGCATCAGAACCCCATGTGCCGGGCAGCCAGCACGCGGACGATTCTTCTCTCACCATCCATCCAGAGGCTGGACTGCAAAGGGCAGGTGCAGGGCTGGTTCCTGGTGAGGTCTCCTGCCTGCCCTGCGTGGCCTGTCCCCGCGTGGCCCGTCCCGAGTGGCCTGGTGCCTGCTTGTGCAGTGGGAGAGTGTTGCTTTCTCCTCCTACAAGGACACCGGTCCTAGGGGATTGGGCCCCACCTCTTGACCTCATTCAACCTGAATCTCCTTAAAGGCCCATCTCCAAATGCAGTCACATTGGGGGTCGGGCTTCAACCCGGGAACTTGGGAGACACGTCTTCGCACGTGGCCCTGCCCGGTCCTCCATCTCCTTTGTCCCTTCACCGCCTCTGTTATTTGGAGCTGTACGTACGAGTTGGCCGTGTGTCACCCTCGCTGCTCTGCAAAGCTCCAGTGATGTCCGTCGGGGTCACCAGCAGGCTCCAGCCTGCCTATAGCAGCTGCCCCGCGAGCTCCACTGGACCAGTGGCAAATGGACCAGGGGCCTGGAGGGGTGGGGGCAGCAGCATGGCCCTCGGAGTCCCTCTGTTCTCTCTGCGCGGCCTGGGAGGAGAGGGGAGGGAGGAGGACGCAGAGCTGGCTGCTCCCTCTTGTGGGACCACATCAGGCCCTCCTCCTGCACACTCACCTCCTCCTCCCCCTGCGGCAAGGACAGGGGCACAGCAGGAGACCGGGAGGGTGGCGGCTGAGGCCAGAGGTACGCAGGTGCCTGCCCCTGGCAAGAAGGGGCGGGGACGACTCGGCCAGTGGGGTCACTGGGTGAGTGCTGGGCGGGAAACCAGTGTCTGGCGGAAGACTGAGGGGGGCCGGCTTTGGGGGCCACCCTCCATTTACTTCCTTTGAGGTCTGAGGCTCTTTTGTAGTTCTGTTGTGGGCCGGACCCTGAGCACAGCCCCAGGTGGGGTTCAGGGATGGAGGGGAGGCCTCCCGCCCTGTAGCCAATGGCTTGGCCATTCAGGAAACCTAAACGGACTTTTGTGATGAGTGTCAGCCCCTCACTGAACCTCAGTGTCCCCACCTGTGAAATGAGGAAAAGAAAATCAACCTTGCAGTCTTGCTTTAGAGACCACTAATAATTTACATTGGTGGCTTTGCAAGGTGCATGGAAAGCAGTGGTCCTGGGGCAGCAGAGGGCTGGGAGCCCAGGAGGCACCAGGGGCTCTGACCTCCAGCTCTCTCTGGTCCCAGGGATTCTCTGGGGTTTATGTCAGCCCCAGCAGTGTCCTCCTCTTGGAAGCCCTGGGGCTGGCCTATCACGGTGCCCTGTGCCCACACTACACCCCATGTAGGTAACAGTCTTGGGAGCCTCCAGGCAGGGCTCCCAGAGGAGGATTCAGGCCCCACGGCCAGCAGGGCTGGACTGTCCCAGCTCCACTGGGCAAAGCCAGTGTGCCCTCAGGTGCCAGGTCTGTGTAGATGCGACATTACCCTCTGGGACTGGCCTGTGTCTTCGGGGACCCCCACCCAGCTCTGTCAGCACCTGCCACACCAGGAGTGGGACAGGTGGCTTCCCCAACTCCTCCTTCCCAGCCACGGCCCCAGACTACCTGTGGCACCTTGAAAGCTGAGCTTCGGTTATGGCCTTACTTCTGTGGAGGGTGGGTGGGTGGCAGCTGAGCTCAGGGCGTAAGGGACCCAGACCCCAACATACATTTGCTCTAGTTTTATTGCACTTTTACCACATTGCAAACTATTCCACAAAAATGCCGCAAAATTAAGCCTGTTGCTGAGGCCCTCGGAGGAGCCTATGTGATGTATTTACACCAGCTATCAAAGCAAAGTCAGAAGACGAGCAGCACCCTCGGCCGCCAAGCGAAGTCACAGGTGCTGCTGGGCGGCTCTGAGAAATGGAAGACGTGGTCGTTGACGTCACTCTGAAACCAGGAGTCTGTCTGTCAACCAGCCTGTGACGCCATTGGGAGCCTCCTGTGCCCAAGCCGAGGCTGTCAGCCATCTGGCTGCAGGGCCGCCGGAAGGGAGGAGAGATGGGAGTTTGTTTCAAGTCAGGTCCAGAGTGTGGGTGCACTTGGCGGGACAGTCCAGCCCCAGGGGCGCGGCCCCCATGTGTGCATTTGGTAGGTGGTCTGGGGTCTGCAGAGGTGTCACTCTTTATATACATAGACACCATGTATAAATACAAAATAGTAAATAAAGGCTTTCTTTCCATACAAAAAGGGTGGGTTGACCCTGCCGCCAGGCTGCCTCGTCCATGAGCACAGAGCGCCCCTCCCCAACCTTCTCCGGTCTCGAAAGCGAATACAGTGAGTCCTGTCGGACCCACTGCCGAAGGAGCTCACATTCCCGCGGTTCCTGACTCCAGGAGTGGCCCGTCCTTCCTGAAGTCACTGAATTCACAGCGTGGGTGCGCCTGTCCTTCCTCCATGGCAGGCCGGCGGCTCTTGGTCACTACCTGCTGGGGGGGACTCTGTGCTCAGGGTCCAGGTCATCCTCCACCACGCTATGGGGCCCATCCTTCTCCACGCAGTCCCTGATGGCCTGCAGCACGATGCGCAGCCGCCGGTCCAGGGCCTCTAGATGTGGCCGGTACAAGACGGGGGCTACCCGGTCCTTCTGCAGGGACTCCGCCATCATCAGGCTCAGCCGGTACTCCTCCTTGGCCAGGAGCTGCAACCGAAGGTAGGTGGACTTCCTGACCCTACAGGGGAGAAAGAGGTCAGGCCCCAGCCTCCGGGAACTGGGGACAGGGGAGGCCAGCTCTAAGCGGGGGGGTGGTCGCAAGTTGGTCCCTGGCCTGCTCCGGCCCCTGCCTCTCAGAGGCACCACGGTGAGGGTCCTGCCTGGCAGAGCAGGTGGCCATGGGGGACTTGGCGGTGCCCGCAGGGACCTGAGACTGCAGGCAGACACAGGGCGGGGAGGGATGGCCCACGCGTCTGGGAGACCGAGCCCAGCTCAGCTCCACACACCTGCCCCGGCAGGGTGCAGCTGGTTCTGCCCCATGGCCCGTTTCCCCAACCCTAAAGGGAAAAAGCTGGGTGGGGAGCCCCACAGAGGGTTGCAGCGAGTGGCATGGAGTGCTGGGGGGTCAGGACGGCTGCCTGAGCCTCAGCGAGTTCATCCGTGAGACGGGCTGTTACGACCAGCATGAGCTGTGTGCCAGGAAGGGCTGTGGGTGCCGGAGCTCGAGCTGCTCAGGCTCGGGGCACTGTGCCGTGGGAGTGGGGCTTGGGGGCCTCTGCCCAATCTGTGGCTGGGCTGGGGGCTCCCGGGGGGCAGAGGGACAGGCCATACCTGCAGCATTGCTGTAAAGGCACCAGAATGGACAGCTCATCGTGGGAGTGTTTCCCAAACCTGCCGAAGAAACGCGGAATTGTTGAGGGTGCGACATGCAGCGGGACACCTGTGTGCAAAGCCTGCAACATGCACCCCCCAGGGGACCCGAGAACGAGCAGCACCTCGTGTGTGCCCTGCTGGAGGGCCACGGCTATGGAGACTGGGCAGTGTGTCCCCAAGACCCGGTACAGTGTGGCTTGGTCCCTGCCGTCCCCGGCACCAGACGCAGGGCCTGGGACAAGGGAGGTGCCTGAAAGCAGCCTGGTGTTCTGGCCGCTGCACTGGACAGAAGCTCATAGATGCGGGGTCTGAGGCAGGCTGAGTGGAGAAGGCACCGGGGTGAGTCAGCCCAGGGTCCAGCCACGCTGCTGTCTCTGACAGCTGGGTATCCGTGGCCCGCACACATCAGCTATCCGGGTGCCCAGTGCGGACTTGTCTGAGGCATCTGGGCACCAGCACCATTAACCACTTAGGAACGGTAGGTCCCTGCACCATACCCGTCAGGCAGACGGCTCTCCTAGGTGGCCCAGGACTGCCCAGGGGCCAGCCAGCAGTGGCCACAGGCCCTCTTTCTGGGGCAGGGAGGGCCACTTGTCCCAGCTAGCCAGTCCCACGTGACCACGTGAGGGGTAGAGTGCACCTCACGGCTCTGCCCTTCTGGGCAAGCAGACTCTGGGCCTCAGTTTCCTCAGGGCAATACGAGGACATAACAGGACCTAGCACACAGGGTGACCCTGAGGACCAGGAAGAGTAACACTATAGCTGGAGGCCAGGGGCCAGCGCCCTGCATCACACACGCAGCGTCCTTGGGGGACGGCCACCATCCCCCCCTCGGAGCCCTGTCCTCCCGGGTCTGAAGAGCAAGAACATGGCTCACCCTCTCCCATTGTCTAAGTGGATGATAAATGTCTCGTTCCCAAACTTCTCAAAAGTCTCATAGTGATGGCGGTCCATGTTCCCTGTGGAGAGAAGCAAGCTGAAAATTCAGGGCTGTCACCCGCTCCCCACGTCTGACCCTGGAGCCAAAGCGACGGAGCAAAGCAGGGGCTTGGCCACAGTGGGTCAAACGCAGGGTGGGAGCTCCCGGTGCAGGATGGGGCTGCCGACGTACCCATGAGGAAGTCAAAAATGGTCATGTCCATGATGTCCAGGACACGATGGCTGCTGTCATAGGGGGGTGTCTGCTTCACCTCCTCACAGTAGTCGGGGTCCACTTCCCACCTGCAGGGGAGCCAGTGTGAGAAGGCCAGTTTCCTCCTCTGTGTGGACAGGGAGGCCCAAACCCGCTCAGCACAGCAGGATTACTGCAGTGAGGACTGGGGGTGGAGAGAGGTGTCACCACAGAACAGCGCTGCCAGCTAAGGCTGCATTAACGGGAGTAAGGGGCTGGGAGGTGATCAAGCCATGTCTGGAGGCTGCTGTTAGCCCCAGATGCCAGGTTTCTGGAGGGTCACTGTTAGGAAACGGGGCCTGGACACCACACTCCCAGGCTCAGAGGGGCCATCTCTTTTGCATGAGGGGCAAGAAGGGCAAGGAGTGAAAGCGGAGTTCCAACCCTGAGAGGCTGTGTTTCCAGACCGCAGTGGGCTGGCCAGCACCCCTGCGGGGGACGCATCTGGTTCTCAGAGTCAGGCAGCCCTTCCCGCCATCTACTCAGGAAGGGGTGGTCTCGCCCACACTGGGGGCAGGCGGAGCTGGGTGTGCCTCCCTTCCTTGATACGCCTTATTCCCTGCGGCCTGAGGCCCCTCCGAGCAAAGTGGGCAGAAGCCTCTCAGACCCCGTGATGTCAGAATAAGGAAGATGAAGATGTGGGCCATGTGTGGGGGGTGCCTGCCCGACACTCACTCTGCCTTCTTGCGCTTGTGGTACGAGCGCCGCCAGGGGTTCCGCCACGTCTTCCTCTTGGCCAGGGACAGGTCTGGCAGGAAGGCTGCCAGCGAGCCCTCTATCTGGTCCGGCTTCCCGCACAGGGCATGCTCCGTGGAGCAGTAGTAGGAACACTCGCCATAGAAGCAGATGTTGTTGGCTGGTGGCAGATGGGCACATTGGTGAGTGGGGAAAAACATCCTCCATGCCAGCCCTCCCCACACATCCATCTGGGCCCGGCCCCTGTCCACACCATCCATCCCATGGACCCCTGTCCACACCATCCGTCTGGGCCAGGCCCCCATCCATACCATCCGTCTAGGCCTGGCCCCCGTCCACACCATCCGTCCGATGGGCCCCCGTCCACACCATCCGTCTGGGCCAGGTCCCCATCCACACCATCCGGCTGGGCCCGGCCCCCGTCCACACCATCCATCTGATGGGCCCTGGTCCACACCATCCGTCCGATGGGCCCCCGTCCATACCATCCGTCTGGGCCCAGCCCCCGTCCACACCATCCGTCCCATGGACCCCCGTCCACACCATCCGTCCCATGGGCCCCCGTCCACACCATCCGTCCGATGGGCCCCCGTCCACACCATCCGTCCGATGGGCCCCCGTCCACACCATCCGTCTGGGCCCGGCCCCCGTCCACACCATCCGTCCGATGGACCCCGGTCCACACCATCCGTCTGGGCCAGCCCCCCATCCATACCATCCGTCTGGGCCAGGCCCCTGTCCACACCATCCGTTTGATGGGCCCTGGTCCACACCATCTGTCCGATGGGCCCCCGTCCACACCATCCGTCTGGGGGCCGGGCCCCCATCCATACCATCCGTCTAGGCCTGGCCCCCATCCACACCATCCATCCGATGGACCCCTGTCCACACCATCCGTCCGATGGGCCCCCGTCCACACCATCCGTCTGGGCCGGGCCCCCGTCCATACCATCCGTCTGGGCCGGGCCCCCGTCCACACCATCCGTTTGATGGGCCCCGATCCACACCATCTGTCTGATGGGCCCCCGTCCACACCATCCGTTTGATGGGCCCCGATCCACACCATCTGTCCGATGGGCTGGGCTCACCCACTTTTTCACACCGGATCTCACAAATTGCTGCTACCTGCGGTACAGAACACCGAGGCCCAGAGAGGGGGGCTGACCTGCCCGAGGCTACACAGGGGGAGCTGGGGTTAGGATCTCCCACTGGCATCTATTGAAATTCTAGAGCCAATGCTCAGTGGCTTAAAAAGGGCATTCTCACCATGAAGAAAGTGTAGCACTCCACAGTGGGAGAGGATGCTTGCAAATCATACCTCTGACAAGGATCTAGCATGTAGCACATATGAAGAACTTGTGCAACCCAATAATAAAAAGATAAATAGCCCAACTCATAAATGAGCCAAGGAGTTCAACAGATATTTCCCCAAAGAAAATACAGAAATGGCCAAAAAGGACATGAGAAAGATGCTCCACACCTTGGTCATTAGGGGAGTGCAAGCCGAAACCACAGTGAGACACCGTTTCTTGCCCACCAGGCTGGTTTCAGTCACGAGAACAGACACTAAGGGGTATTGCTGAGGGTGTGGAGACATGGGAGCCGATTCGGCGCTGGTGGGATGCAAGCTGGTGCAGCCGCTGTGGAAGCCAGTTTGGTGGCTCCTCCAAAAGTTTGGCGTAGAAGGACCACACGATGCAGCAATTCTACACTCAAGAGAAGCGAGCGCACGTCCACTCGGCACTGGACACAGAGGGTCCCAGCCGCTCTGTTCACCCTGGCCGAAGAGTGCATACAAATCTCGTGTCCCCCCAGGGGTGTCCCTCCCTAAAACGGCGCCCTGTTCACCCACAGGAGGAATGCCTACATCGTGGACGAACCATAAAAACGTGATGCTCAGTGAGAGAAGCCACACGCTGTTGCATTCTGTGTGTGTGAAATGGTCCAGGGGTGCTGGGGCGACTGCTAATGGGTGAGGAGAACATTCTGGAATTGGTGGTGATGTGGCACGTCATGAATGTACTAGAAACCACAGAATTCCACCCTTCAAAATGATGAGTTTCATAGAAAATAAAGCAGGGTAAATTCAACTCAATTTAACCATGATGTACAGGCACATTACTAAAGAAAAAGAATAAAATGCCTTGGTCATTTTGTTACCAAAAAAGATGGTGAATTTTATGGTATGTGACTCAAATCTACACGAGTCATTTAATAAAGCAGGCATCTCCTGCGGCCCAGTTTGCTGATTTGTTGCTGGAGGCCCAGCCAGTTTTCCCTTGCTGGTCCGGGATGCGATGGCACTTGTGTGTGTATTCACCGATGGAGTTCATGTTCTCGTGTTCAGTTACTTTGTGTGTCTGCGTATGTAGGGTTATGGCAGTCAGAACGGCAGGCACCAGGCACAGGCCCCTTCCCAACTGTGCAAATGGCCAGTTTCCCAGACGAGGGGTCTCCTGACCACGCAGTCTCCGTGTCTGGTGAGCAGCCATCTGGAGGACACGGGAAGGCGGCCCAGGGGCTCCCACCATCTGGAGGACACGGGAAGGCGGCCCAGGGGCTCCCACCATCTGGAGGACACGGGAAGGCGGCCCAGGGGCTCCCACCATCTGGAGGACACGGGAAGGCGGCCCAGGGGCTCCCACCATCTGGAGGACATGGGAAGGCGGCACAGGGGCTCCCACCGTGCTGCCTGAGCACAGCAAGTCCCCGCTTGGATCACCTGCCTCTCTCCCTCCCTGGACCTCGTGATCCCAGAGCCAGTGCTGGAGGACAATCTGGGAAAAGATCCGTCTGTGATGTCGCCTGTGTGTTGACCCAGTTCGTCAGCATCCCACTGATGCACAATATAGCCTCAACCGAGGTGGCAGCTCCACTTTCAGGATGAAAATCTTTATCTGATCTTGTTGGCTGGAGCCCCGGGCTTTGCAGTCTCAGAGCCGAAGCTGGCTTGAGATGGATTCATGCTCAGAGAGAAGGGCATGTTGTGAGTGCACAGCGTTTTCCTCATGGGAGATCCAAATCTGGTTCCTAAAAGAATAGCCAGAGTGGGGCCCAGAAAGCTTCCCAGGGGTGCAAGCTTGGTACGGGGCTTCACCTCCTCATGCCTCAGTGTCCCCACCTGAATGAGGGCCCCAGCAGCACCTGCTCATGGGCTGAGTGTTAAACAAGGTGACCAGGTCGAGTCAGATGTCTGGCAGCGAGTCAGGGGCCAATGCAGAGGAGTGACCATTAGCTCAACCCTGCGCTTGGGCAGGAGTGGGCGAGGGGAAGAAAGAGTGCCAGCCCTTTTCCATCTCAGTGAGGACAATCGAGGTAGTCAGTGGGGGAAAACCTGCCTTCCCTCGCACCCCGGGGCCACCTCCTCCAACACCTGAGACCTCGGGGGGAGATGGGCTGAGGAAGGACCCGGTCTCTGTGGAGCCGGCAAGCATGTGACTCTGCACAAGAACCCTCCACCTGTGAGGAGCCTTTCAGGTATCTGCCTGGCAGGAAGCTGAGTCCCAAAGAACAGGACGCTTGCTGTCTTTGTCCAACCTGGATGGCTCTGAAGGGTGGGTGGCCGTTAGGTGGGGCTGGAATGCTGGGGAGCCACCATCACTCAGGAGTGGCCCGAAGACTCCCGGGCCCAGCCTGGGACCCCCTCTAACCCTCCACATGCATTTAAACTGGACGCTGTGTCCACAGTGTGTGGGCAGAGTGTCTGGGCCCACCCAGCCACCCCGGCCCATGTGGCAGGAAAAAGAGCCACTTTAAAGATGTGGGTGGGGGCTGAGTGGCTGGGAGGGGGCAGGAGGGGGTTCCCAGAGCTGCTCAGGTTCTGTGTCTAGTCCTGGAGGCGTTTATGCAGGTGGGCCCCCCTTGCGGAAACCCACGGAAGTGTGCACCTTCCAGGACAGATGAGACGTGCCCATAGAAATTTACTGAAACAGTACAAGGACTTCGGTGGGGCTCAGTACAGCTGGGTTCGGGCCCAGCCTGCCTCCGCACTGCTGTGTGGCGGGGGGCACTTAGCTGCTCTCCTGAGAGTGAGTCCACATCCTGACTCCGGTGTCTGTATTGCCTGGGGCCTGCCCCTACCACACAGAAAGACCGCAGCTTGCGTGAGCTCGGCCCACCTCCCAGGGCACCAGTCCTCCCACCAGTGCTGGCCCCGGGCTGGTCTGGGCAGGAGGGCCGTCTCCACCTCACACACGCCCCTCCAGCTCCTGGCTGGCGCCAAGCTCCCCACCGGCTGCTGGGACTTTCCCCTTTTATGACTGACCCCAGACAGAACCACGCAGGCCTCTGGAGGTGGAAGGGATGTCCGCTGTGCGCCTGGCTCTCGAGCAAAGCTCGGCATCTGCAGCAACGTTGCAAGTGGTTGGTTCTAGAAGTGCGGGCCAAGCAGAAAGGCTGCGAATGAGTCTGAACAGACTTTGTTTTCCAGAATGGGGTCACAGGGGGCTCCTGCCACCCGGTTGCTTTAGAGAAAACCACACATCTCTAAGGGCTTTCGGGAAGAGATCCAGCTGACAGAGTGGGGCTGCGTGTCAGAGTTGCAGGTGCAGCTGAGAAGGCCATCAGGAGCCGGGCACCGGGAACGGCGATCCAGCCGTCTGAGTGGTCGGCACAAGATTCCGGCAATCGTGGCGCCAAATGCAGGCATCACCGCGATCTCCACAGGGCACCGGGAACACGCCAGGGTGGCTGAAAACTCCAGTGCACGGAAGGAACGCTATACCACCAAAGTGGGACAGACACGTGTCTTAACCTGCTTAGACTAGTAACCGACTCCATCTTTTGTTTATAAAAAAGGAATCCACTAGCCTTCGCCCACCACCTGTGGGACATCAGTCATGGGGTTCTGGACGCTGGTGGCTACATGGCCCCTTCTCTGAGAGCCACCAGCAAGGCTGCCCTGTGCCCCGGCGAGCACCTCCAGACCCAGGGGCGGGCTCCTGAGGGGAGGCCCCTCTGCACCAAGAAAGCGAAACAGAGAAACTTCTGGATCTGTTTGTTTTTCTTGACACTTCAAACCCCAGCTCCTTCCCCTCATTTTGGGCAAGTTGCCAAGTCCCCTCTGTCTGGGGCCCATCAACAGACGACTGGATGAGCAAACCGCAGTGTGTCCATCCAGAGCAACAGGACTCTGATCTAAACAGCAACATGCTGGACACCACACGACCACACGGGTGAATCTCAGGACGGTGCTGTCGAGCGCCAGAAGATAGACAGACAGACAGACAGAAGCACACACCGTGTACCACCCCCACTTGTGCAAAACTATAGAAAAAGCAAAGTAAGCCTCAGAGACAGAACAGATTGCGTCGTCGTGGGGGAGACAGGGCAGGATGGGACCGGGGAGGACGGACCAGGCCACGGTTTCTCTGCTTATCAAAACTCGGGGGGGCGCCTGGGTGGCTCAGATGGTTAAGCGTCTGCCTTCGGCTCAGGTCATGGTCCCAGGGTCCTGGGATCGAGCCCCGCATCGGGCTCCCTGCTCCGCGGGAGCCTGCTTCTCCCTCTGCCTCTCTCTCTCTGTTTGTCATGAATAAATAAATAAAATCTTTAAAAAAAAAAAAAACTCGGGGGACTTTGCACTTGGATACTATTTACGGCATGTCAATCACACCTCCATAGAATCACTTAAAAACGGGGGTGAGGAAACCATCCTCCCCCACACTCCTGCCTAAGAGTCAAACGAGGACCCATCGCAGGTACACAGCAGTGCCTGGCACAGCAGACACTCAGTAGCGCTCATGTCCCCTTGCTCTGGTAACACTGCCCAGAGCCTTCCCGCCGTGCGACGGGCGCCCCCGTGTGAGACCTCCCTGCGGGCCCCACTGGCAGGAGCTGGCCCACCAAGGGTCTGGGGGCTGCCCAGGCGGGAACGGGCTCGATTCTGCCTGAGGGGGCGTTATCCAGCCTGAGGGGCCACACGCACGATGTGCTCTCAGCAGCGACAGCCGTCTGGCCCCTCTCTGCCGACCCTACGCCAGTGTCTCCGTGGGTTCTGTGAGCCTCAGAACTAGTCCAGGACAGAAATGGAGAGCGTCCACCTAACGTGGAGGGACACTGGCAACCCATAAACTGGGTGGTGGGTGTGGGGGCACAGGCACATTTTATCTTAATTTTTGAACACTGAACTGCTGCAATAAAAACCGCAGAACCAGTTGACAAGGAGCAGCCACACAGCCTGGGTGCCCTGTGGGTGTGGCCCAGCCTGGCCTCCAAGGGGTGGCCGGGAGGCTGGAGGTGCGGGTGCTGGGGGCACCCAGGCTGAGGACAAGAGATCCCGGAGGCCCTGACGGGCAGAGGTGGAGGAGGAGCTCGATGTCTCAGGGGATACAGCAGAGAGCTCAAGAACCCAAGCTTGGGGAGGCAGGTTTCCAGCCTTGGAGAAGAAGGACCTCTCCAGAAGTTCAGGCTGTGCAAACAGGAGCCAATGAGCTCCCCGTCACTGGGGGTGTGCAACCTGCAGCTGCGGACACGCTTAGACGAGGCTGACCGAGAGGCCCTCAAAGACCCCTCCCCTTTGGTTTCTGGTCATGGGCTGGACACGCTGCGGGCACAGGGAGTCGGGGCACATCCCTCCTGCCTCTTGGAGGATTTCTGTCCTACTTTCCTTTGATTAACGGGCTCTGAGAGGAGGAGCCCTATAGGATGTGCTGAGCCTCGGATGATAGAAATGAAGCTTCATTAAGTCGTGGGGCTTGACTCTGACAAATCTGTGAAATCTTTTAAGAAAACATGCAGCCTGAACAACCAGCAGAAGCCAGGTCCAGGGGATCTCCAGATGCAGTCAAGCAAGGGCCTTGTGTGGGTTCTAAGTTCATGAACTAACAGAGATGGGCACACGGTGTGGCCACGCATTCCAGCGGACAGGCCCTCACCACTGGGAGGGTCTCTAACCCGGGGTGGGTCCATGCTCATCCCTGCACTCCACTGCTCAGGCATCGCTGGGACACGCCCAAGAACTGCATATAAGGGACAAAATTCCCGTGAGGGAGAAGGTGTTCCCCACGCTCAGGCCGAGCAAGCCTGCTGGCAGCTCAGCGTAGGGCCTGGCTCAAGGGAGGTACCCACAGGGACGGACAGACGGACAGACAGGCGATCATGGAGCCTTGAACACCAGAGTTCAAAGCACCTGGGGCAGGCGGTATGGTCGGTATGACTTACAGTTTGTGTCTGCACTTGAGATTAAGGATTTGAAGTCCTAAAGGTTTTCATGAACATCAGCACCTCTCTCTCGACAGCACAGGGCACATGCAGGCCCCCATGCCGAACACTGAGGACCAGGTGGGGCCACCGCTCCACTCGCACTCCAGCTGCAGAGCTGAGGAAGGGGAGGCGGCCCGGTTCCTGTCACTACGTGAGGGTCTTACTGGGGTGTTTCTTAATCTGGGAAAGTTCAGGGAACAGAGGTTTCTCCAGCTGGACCTCCTGGAGGAGACTCTCCAGAGAGGCTGGGAGTTTCCAAAAACAAATTCATTTTGCCTTTTAAAACAAACAAATGGTAGATAAAAAACCTGTATGCCCAGACCAGGGGATCGAGTCAATGATGATAACATGGCCATTTCTGGCACCCTTTTAAAATTATGATGCAGATGCACCCGACGTGGAGTGGGCACCCCGCCTGTAGTCAAGCAGTGGGCTGGATTATACAAGAATTCTTTCCAGTTTCTTTCTTCTATTTTGGAAAGGTAAGCAGGCTTGTGGTGACTGTGTGTGGGAAGCCTGGAGAGGGGGACTCCCAGGTGCAAGTTACCTGGGGAGATGAAGAAGGTCCTCCACAGCTTCTTGTCCCTCGTCACATCCCGGATCTCCTTCGTCATGTTGACCATCCTGCCGGCCACGGGGGGGACCCGGCGGAAGTCCAGGATCCTGGTGGGAAAGTGACAGGGAAAGGGTCTAACCTCTGTACCCTGGCCCGCTCCAGGCTGGCATGGAATGAATACCTCTCTCTCTGCGTTCTGAGGCAGGGTCCTCCACCCCCTGGATTCTGGGAACTGACCCCAGAGCCAGGCCTGTGACTGCCCCTGGAGGGCACAAAGCTCTGGGTGAGCAGGGGGGCTGCTGAGAGGCTCACCCACACGGTCACCCATTACCAACTGCCCAGCTCCCCAGCAGCAAGGGACCATGCGGAGACCACAAAGGAATTCACATTCTGCCTGGCAGAGCTGTCCCAGAAGATGGGTGATGGGGGAGCAGGTGTGGAGACGTGTGTCCCTCGGTCTCACCACGGCCCCAGAGTTTACATCCTGAAACACTCTGCATTAAAATTCCCAGCCCTCATACTCCTTCCCTATCTTTTCTGTTATTCCCAACGGGTCACGTCCACCCTGGTCACGAGCTGCTCTGGAGGATCTCCTGTCTGGCACCGTCCTAGGTGTGGGGCCCACAGCAGGGCATGTCTGTCTGGGTTATAACATCGCCAGGGCGAACACCACCTCTGTGCTGCAGAGGAATGGTTACCAGCACGGGCTGTGGGCTCACCATGCCTCAGTTTCCCCTCTTCTGTACAATGGGGCTAACGACAGGACCCCCTCGGCTGGGTGTTGGGGGGAGGGCTCACCCATACGGCGCTCAGACCTAGGGTGCAGACAGGAGGGCTCACCTGTCCAGGTGGAAGGCAGCGATCTCTGCGTTGTGCCTCTCATAGTCAGAGAAATAAAAGAAGTCAGGGGGTGTCTCCTGCTCCCTCGTTTGCCTAGAGAAAAGGGGATGAAACAAAGGGTTTATCACTGTCAAAACCCTCCGGTGAAAGGGTGCTGGTGGGTTGTACTGGCCGGCAAAAACAGGCTGTCAAACTTCCAAGACTGTTGTGAGCCAGTTGTTAAAGTCATCCTTGAAAATCAGCTCATATAAACATACAACTACGTAAGTTACATTTAAAAAGCAATAAACATTTAATTCTCATCACTTGCCGCTTATTTTATGGCATCCCACTGTTTGCTCCTGAGGCTGCTGACACCTCTTGCCTCTGCAGTGGCAAACAGCATGTATCATGAGGTGATGTGTGTCCCCAACGCCACCTTTAGTGACCTCATGCTGAGAGCTTGACATGGGCCAGTGAGGAAGTATTTGCACCACAGGATGGGCAAACTCTTCCAGTCAGGCTTTTCCCTCACAGAGGAGCTGGCTACTAAACACTGATCAGCCCACCACCAACCAGTCCATAACACCAGCCAAACAGGTTTTCCAGAAGGGCGGATGGCAAAAGGCAGGGAGCCCAGGGAGTGTGGATGACGGAGGTGGTGGGGCAGCAATCACCCTGCAAAGAACGAGATGACTTCCCTGGGGCATGAGCTGGGGACCAAGTTCAGGCTACACAACTGTCCCTCAGCCTGTTTTCAGCCATCTACCAGTCCACCTGCCCAGACAGGGCCCCCCTGCAAGATGCGAGAGAGTCTGGGAAGCTTTCTTGGGGCCACAGGTGGGACACACTTCTGAAGCCTACAGGAGGTGATCCATTTTCCAGTGTCCATCAGGGCACCCGCCGGTGAAGACTGCCTACACCCAATCCAGGACTACTGCCACCAGAGGCTTCTGGCCCCTCTTCTGCTCTGCCCTCCTCTCTCTCTCTCACCCCTGCTGCCTCCACCAAACCTCTCCTAGATCCAGCACCCAGGACACTTCCACCTCTGCACCTTTGCTCATGCTATGCTCTCCACCTGTACTTGCTTCCTCCATCCTTCCCAAGATTGGCCTCAGCCCCCATGGGCTTTCCCTGGCAACCTGGCAAGCCTTCCTTGGCATTAGCCTTCTGCTGAGGAACTTGGTACTGCTACATTAGACCACTGTTTGCAGGGCCTGGGGGCAGGAGTGAAAAGCCAGGTGCCTGCTTTAGAACAGGTGTTCAATAAACAAACGAACTGATGGAGGAAGGGCAGGGAATGGGTGCAAATTGGTCCACAGCCTTGAGCTCTTCCCACCCTCATTTCCTCAATTTCTACCATCATCACCATCATCACCATCACCTCCATCACCATCATCACCATCCTCACTGTCACCGCCATCACCACCATCATCATCATCACCATCATCATCATCACCTTCATCACCATCCTCACCATCATCACCATCCTCACCATCCTCACCATCGCCACCATAACCACTGTCACCACCATCACCACCATCATCACCATCACAATCATCATCATCACCTTCATCGCCATCATCACCATCATCACCATCACCATCATCACCATCACCATCATCATCATCACCATCATCACCATCCTCACCATCACCACCATCCTCACCATCCTCACTGTCACCACCATCACCACCATCATCATCGTCATCACCATCACCATCATCACCTTCATCGCCATCATCACCATCATCACCTTTATCACCATCACCATCCTCACCATCCTCACCATCATCATCACCACCATCACCACCATCACCAACATCATGACCTCCCCCATCAACATCATCACCACCATCACCACCACCGTCACCACCATCATCACCATCCTCACTGTCACCACCATCACCACCATCATCATCATCTCATCATCATCTTCATCGCCATCATCACCATCATCACCATCATCACCATCCTCACTGTCACCACCATCACCACCATCACCACCTCCATCACCACCATCATCACCATGTGCTTTGGTTTTATCTGTGATGTTACCTAGTGAGCTTTTCTATTTGCCAACTCTTTGGCTTTTGTTCCCTTCTCCCTCACTCTAGCCCACCCCTCTGATCAGGTCACACATCTGGAAAGCAGGTGGCTCTGAGCCCTGCTACTCCGGGAAGAGCCAAACCGCTTCCTGGAAGCTCTGTGACCAGGTTCCAGAGCAGTTCCTGGTTCCCTCACATCTCCCACCTCAGGGCTTTCCAGGGACCTCTGTCCTCTAGCTGTTCACACAATAGGGCAGCGCTTTCCTCCACCCCGAGGCCATATACAGGCCTTCTGCTTGGCTGTCTCAGCTTGCAAGTGCTCCTCCCCAGAATGACCCTGGAAGTGCAGAGAAGTGGTGATGTTTTGTCTGTGTGCTCAGTGACTATCTCACTCCTGAGAGGCTCTGAGGTGCTCCTGGGACCCCTGTGTTCTTTGTGCTGTCCTCAAGATGTGTGACAGGCTGTGAACAACTTGGGGAAGGGGGCCCACTTAACCTGTCCTGATAAGGGTGGAGCTGGGAACTCAGGAAACGCCCAAAGGGGAGGGGGTCCTGTGGGTGGGAAGGTGGGCTCCAGTGTGGGCCTCCCCACTCATTTGGTTTAGACAGAGTGCCTGTGGGCCAGAGTGAAGGTGCCTAGGTCAGCGCTGTGCAGACCTGGCTCCCCAAGGCCGTGGGCAGGGCTGAGTGAGTGTGTTAGAACTCTGGACCCTCAGCTTCCCCAGCTGTAGAATGGGGATAGTTCTGTGCTCTGGGTGTGGCCAGCTGACCCCAGGTCCTGTCATCAGAGTGGTCAGGACTCACACACACAAGTGCGGAGCTTGAAGTAGGAAGAATGGCTAGAAGAGGCCCAGGACTAACTGGTAAGGGTGCTCAGGAAGGACGAGGCTGGCTCCCTGCTGGTCTTCCTGCTGAAGGTCTGTGCCCAAATCAACAAGGGAACAAGGGGAGTGGAAATCTTCCAGCTGTGCACCACCAGTGACAGAGGGTCCACCTGGCCGGTCACCCATCTGCATGGTCTGGTGACACGACACGAACCATTAGCTTAACTCCTGCAGGATGTCCTGACCAGCCAATCCACGCCTGAGTGGAGCATTCAGGGGGTCTGAGAGCTGGGGGTACTCACTGCAGGGGGTATGTGGGCTCTTCTCAGGGCTGGGCTGCAGAGCAGGGGACAACATGGGGGTGTCTGTGTGGGGAGCAGGGCAGCGCAGGGGGGACTGGGAAGAGATGGGACATGGTTGGTTCCCTCTGTGGGGAGGTCGGCTTGCTTCCTGCCACATCCTGGGTGGCACTGGAGAGCAGAAGGTGCCGCTGTTGACCCAGCCGTTTGAGGAAAACAATTTGGAAAAGTACTGAGCCCACTGCACCCAGCGGGAGACTTAACTCAGTTGAACCCAGTCACCTGGCAGCCTCCCCTTCCTCCAGGTGTCCTGGAGGAAGCTGGGCCCAGCTGCGGAGAGCAGGGGAAGGGCGTGGTCTGCCCGGGGCTCTGGGCTTCTTCCTGGGGTGTGGGGCGTGGAAATGTGGAAAGAAGATGCTATCAGACACCCTGGGGTTGGCTCGGCACCCAGAGCCTGTGCCTGCCCTGATGCGGGGTGGGGAGACCGGGCGGCTGGGGACGAGTGTTCCTAGAACACTGTGTACCTGGGAGCACAGCGCCAGCAAGTCGAGGTCCTCTCCTGAGGACTGAGAGGGCCGGGGGCCGGGTGGCAGCCCCTCCCAGGGCCACAGGGCCAGGAGGAGCCTCCTAGTCTGGCCACACACCCCCGGGGGTCACTGCCCCCACACAGGGAGCATTCAGAGCCTGGGAGCCCCCACCCTGACGGCCTCTGAGGTCTGAGCGAGCCCCACCTGGCCTCGGGAAGGCCTGAGCAGCGGGGAAATGGAAAAGCGTACGCTCACTTTCCTCAGAAAACAGCAGCTGAGGAATCAGGCACAAACCATAGGCGAGGACACGGTTTCAGGGAAAGGCTTTGGCAGCAGCGACTGAGGGTCAGGGCAGGGAGACAGGAAGAGCCTGGTGAATTCAGGGGGCCTGGATCCCGGGGAAGGTTTTGGTCCTGCTCTCTAGGAAGGCACCAAAACCTCACAGATAACCGCACTGGGCCCCAAGGCCACGAGAAAGCAGGCAGTGGAGGGCAGCCCCCAGGGGTACACTGAGCACCCCACCACCCTTAAGCCCAGGCCTGCTAAACCCTGGCAAGGGGCTGCTCAGGACCAGTTCTTGGGGCCTCCCTCACTTCCACATTCCCTCTCTCCCTCCTTTCCAGAGCTGACCACGCCCAAACCCCCTTCCTTTAGAGCAACTTCGCTTCGCTGGGAAGGAAGCACAATAAGAGCTGATGATGCATTTTTATACTTAAGTGAGAATGACTACCGTGTTGAACTCTCCTAGGAAATCTATGGTCTGAACTTCCTCAAAGCGCAAAAGGAACTTTGCAGATGTGATTAAGTCGGGGATCTTGAGATGGGGAAATTATCCTGTATTGTCTGGGTGGGGGGTAATGTCATCCCAAGGGTCCTTATAAGAAGGAAGCAGAGGGAGATCTAACAGCTGAAAAACCACAGTGGTGGCTTCGAAGAGAGAGGTTCTGGGAGAGAGTCTGTTTCCTCACCTCCTCCAGCTTCTAGAGGCAGGCTGCCTTCCTCTGCAAGGAAGTACACGGTCTCCCAGAGCCTGCAGCAGGGACACAGCCTGCAGGTCCCTTTTAGATTGCTGACCTCCAAAACGGCAGGAGAACACGTTCATGTTGCTCTACGCCACTAACTTTGTGGTGGCCTGCCGCAGCAGCCCAGGGAACTCGTCTAGAACCTTTGGCAACCCCAAAGCAGCAGGAAGGACACAGTGATTTAGCACCCTTGGAACGGCTACGAGATCCGGTCTATTTCCGCAGATCTGGTCGTGCCATCACTGCTACATTTATGAGACTTTGAAGAACTGACGCAGAACATTTTGAAAGAAGGTTTTCGCAGAAGCCAAAGAGAGGCAGAACCCTGTAAGTACCACGGGAGTCCCTCCAGGCTCCGATCCTTGTCCCCATTTTAGTGACAAGGAAGTCTGAGG